CCACCTTCGTTTATTCCGAATTATGCTGCGTAAGTGTCCAAGATTCTCATGTGAGGTATTTCGAAACTATGTGGGATTTTTGGGTTTACGAGAGACCCTTTTCTCTTTCTGATTTAATATGATTCATGTGGAGAGTGTTGGTATCTACGCGTTGATTAAAATTTCCTTAGCGATAAGATGATCATCCACTCCTCTTATATTAGGGTTTCCAGTTACAGGACTAAAAAGTACTTCTGTAACTTGCTCACAGGTCTCTGCTCTGAACGAGGCTGTCTCCGGAAGTGTCAAATCAGTCTTCAAAGCTTGGGAACAGCGACTACACTCTTCTGGGGTACTATAAATTCTCACAATAACTTATGTTTTGCATCTTTCATTCAAGAATGACCTGATGTTGGTTTTATGGAGAAAACATATGATAATCTTAAAGACTGTGTTAAGGAGGATCCATATATCACTAGCACATGTGTAAAATTTAGCTTGTAGGCTAGCTAGAGCACTTCAAGCTTATAAGCCATTTAGTCATCCCATATGTGATCATTGTGTTGAATATGAATTCACCATTATGCTTGCAACCTCAAGCACTAGGCAACCCTTACTATAATTCTATAAGAACGAAGTGACCCAAGGCATTTTCCTGAAGCTCACATAGAGAATTCCATCCTAAAAAATTTAGCCCTTAGGGTGAGAAAGCCCACTTATTTGTAAGTCATCAACCAATAGTATGCTGGGCTTAAGGAGGATCCTTAATTATATGTACTCTTCCTCAAATATTATGTTTATATGCAGTATATCTTAAAAAGTATGTTTATAACGCCTAAAGGATATGGTATTCTGTCTCCCCTGCAGGAGCATTTGGAGAGCAATGACGGAGACCCTGAATTGCTTGTCTTTGTACCGTATGTGATAGATTCATCATTCCTCTTCAAACTTGCGTTTTCTTTTGGTCACATGGCCTTCTATATCTGTCTGAATACACCGGTTGTTCATTCGATTACTGACCCATGACTTGAAATTTCTACTCATATTATTGGTTTGCATTTAAGGGTTTGACTTCAGACCCTTCACTTGAAAGAGGCTCGGGAGAACTAGATATAGTCCATGTTTCTGTACTATGGAAATTATAATTAGTTTTTGATGGGCATCTCATTAATATCCATGTCGTCATATGATTATCGTAGATTCACATCAGATGTCAAGATCAAGAGCATATCAGTTGTTGGTGGTCCTGATGGAACAAGTCCTTCTAAGTTGAGAGTGTATGTCTAAACTATTCTACAAACTTTTTTTGTATGCATATGTTGAGTACTGCATACTGTTCCTTCGCTTGGGAAATTTAGAAAAACAGAAAGCTGATTGGTGTCCGAAAACTAGGTTCATCAATCGTGAAGGGATTGATTTCTCAGATGCTGAAAGCATGCAAGCCGTTCAGGTATTATTTTGCCAGTATTTTTTGCTTGCCAAAATGCCACAAAACAATTGCACTAATGCAGTAACATTTGTGAATGTGCTTTGAAGGAATGGGAGTTAGCCGAAAATTTGCAAGGAGTCTTAGAATACCAGACCAGGTATCTCTCTACACATAATTGTAATAGACTCTGTAGACTTATGTAATGAATCTTAAAAAGACTACATGTTTTGAGCATTATCCTTCACTGAACTATATAGGCTTTTAGAGTCAACTGGTCAAAATGAGATGTTTGATTAACTGAAAGGGTGGAATGTGATTTGCGCTGTGATTAGGTATTCAAAATTCCAGAGTGTTGGGAACATCACACTGCATTTCCCTGACAGCTTTGGGGGTGACACAACCCAAATACGTTATATCGGGTTCAAAGGTGAAGCAACCCAGGTAAGTTTGCATACAAATATGCTGCTACTATTACATGGTGTGGGTAGTTGTTTAACTATTTTACCATTTGTCTTAACAGTTGAAAAGGGATGTTGTTGCGACAATCGTGTATGAGATTAGACCAAATCCTTCAGATCACAAGTAAGCCTGAATCTCAACCAAATTACTCTC